AACTGCCTCTGGCCAGCAACGTGCCGTACTTGAACTTGTTGAAGTCTGACACACTCTCGTAGGTGCCATGCACGGACCTTTAAATGACGAGTGCGCCAGCTTCCGGCAGCTTCTGAGCAAAGGGCAACTGCTGCCGCATTATCCACGTTGATCCGTAGGGTCGGATCCGACCCCATCAGCTCTGTTGTGAGCACTGCTGTCCCGGCAAGGAGCTGCGACGCATTCACAGTTTCGATTAGCTCGGCTTCTGCTACCGACAAGGAAATCATACTCTGTCGGCCTGCCCTCCAGGAGATAGGGCACCCTTGGAAGCAGGTAAGGCAGCATCCAAAAGACCTTTCGCCCTGAGGGCTGAAAGAAGCATCACTGTATGCATCCAAAACATGACCGTCACGAGAAGGGAAGTAGGTGAGCGTCAAGTCGGCAGTCTCCCGCAAATATCCTAGTACTCGAAGACCAATCCTCTCAACAAGAACTGGATTGCGAAGACATATACACGACATTGTAGCCACACTGTGCATCAGGTCTGGCCTACTTCTTCCGCTCAACCACAGCAATTCTCCAGTCAAAATCTGCGCTCGCCGCAACTGTTGATCGTTGTACTCGACCTGGTCAAAACAGCGATCACCAACCAACCATTCGGGAGGGCAGGGCGTGAGATGATTCGGCCCTTCAGTAAGATCATGATGACGTAGTAGCTCCTGAATATAGCCAGTTTGGCTAATTCTGACCCACTGATTCGAGGCCTCGATCTCCAGCCCCAAAAAACGTATTGCCGAACTTTCTGATGCCCATGACAGCTCTGAAGCCTTCCATTCACTTGTCAGCCAGTCTTGTACAGCCTGAATGGCTTCTGGGTGGCCGGCATAAAGTACATCATCAACATAAATGTTGAGATAGCCCAGGATGATCTCCTCTGCCTCGGCCACATAGACAATCGCCCATACGTTTGCGTCAGCTCTGCTCTGACGAAGGCTCACATGGCCCCCTTTGTAGCCGATCCTTGCTGAAGACAGTCTGCGATCTCGAAACCGGCTCCAAAGCCGAGGGCTCCTCCTGAAGCCGTATAGGGCTCGGTCTACACGCCATAGCTGCATGCTGTGGGTGACCTGTGCCAGCTGAAAGACCTTAGGCGGCATCAACCCGTACACCTCCTCTGAAACGTCGTCCTCTTCATCCTTGATCGGAGCCAGGATGAAGGCGTTCCGTATATCCGTAGAGGCTAATCTCCAGCCCTTGACTGCACACAA